CAACAATAAACAATAATAGTCGTATAACGAATAATTAATAATCAGTAATTGTAGTTAATGATTAATAGTAATAAATAATTGTAGCAATAGTGTTAGCAGCAACGTGATAAAAATAATAAACAATATTAGTAATGGCAACAATGATAATGTTAAGTTAATTTATAATCTGTCTTTTGGATATCACCTTGTTATATACATATATCCTCAATATCAATTTTAACAGCCGGACGAAAGTTTTTTTTTTTCTGGTTAGATTTTACTGTATTAAAATGACATTATAAATGTTTAGTGATTCCTAAGTCAGACTTATTGTTTCGTTAGAAAAATATTTTATTGAATTTGAAATTTAAGCGGTAAAATTACAAATTTTTTGACAGGAATATAATTTCATTAATAATAACAATAGCATTAATCACATCAGAAATGCTGATAAATACTAGTAACAATCATTTTTAAATAGAGATTTATAATTATTTATTAATACTGAAATTTCTCAAAAAATTTTGTTTTGCTAAAAAAAAGAAAACACAAACGACTGTTTTGTGAAAACGAAAACCTTTATATATTCATTCCTTCCCTTCTTCTTTTTTAATATGAATTTCTTCAGCAAGGGACTGAACTGGAAAAACTCTTTATGATCGATCCTAACATTATCTAATTTGAGTTTTCCTTCTTTTTTTTTCTCCAGAGCATACCAACAGTGAGAGCGAAAAATGGGTAAAGGGAAATTCCTTTAAAAAAAAAGCTAGAAAGGACATTTTTTTCTTCGTTCTGTTAGATATCATTTCGTTTTTAGAAGATGGCAATCTGTCATTTTTAGCTTTTTTTCTTCTTTCTCTCTCTTCCTCTCTACATTTTCCTTTCTATTCATTTCTTATAAGATTTTCTTTTTGTTGTTAAACTTTACGAAATTTTTAACAAAGTACTGTGAAAAAAAAGTATAATGAGTTAGAAAGAATGAGTTAACATGAATTGGTACTTCAAATTTTTAAATGTATATCCCTTAAAATGAGCCAGTTAGAATCAACGGCCTCATTACAATTTTGCCTTTGAAAGCATACCAAACATTTACGAATGTACAATTACTATTTCCGTCATCCATTTTTTTCCTTTTTTCAGGAAAAAAAGAAAACTTTACACTTTATAAATTGCAAACTAATTCTTCAGATTTTTGAAGCAAAGTGAAGAACGCAAAATGTGGCAATGATTTTTTTTAATTTTTTATTTTTAGCAAACAATCATTCATTAATCAAACTGGGGTGGGAATACAATATCATCAATTTTCGAGATTCAGATACTCTGTATGATATCACTTGAAATATATTTGGTTAAATTTAAGATCTAAATATTTCAATTTGATTTAAAGCATACATATATTTTTTTTCATTTGGAAATATTTAAAATTCCACCATGCAATTTAAAAGAAGAAAAAACGAAATTAACTGTTTTTTTGTCTTTCTATAAAGAAATATTTCATATGCGATGCATGTCTTTCTTCCTACTGAGGCTTTATAGTATCTCTCTTCGCAGTGATAATACTGACTGCTGTGGAATAGTGGAACGACGAGAAATTCAATGTCACCGAATATATGAAATGAAGACTGCAATATCCACTGACTACTACCATTACGTTTTTACGCTTACAAATGGAAACAATATCTTTAAACAAATTGTCCTCCAGTTTTTTTTGCTTTAATTTTCTTTTAAAATTTATCGGTAAATGGCGATAATTTTCTCTAAGAATTTCAGCAACATAATGAGGTTACGATTTGATATTTCAAACAGTAAATTTTACAATTAGTAGGCACAATCTTTTTTTTTTTCCTTTCATTTTTTTCTAAATCTTTCAAGTTTAAATTGTTATTTTTATCAATAACATCACTTTATTTTTTCTTTTTTTCTCTCCTTTCGCACTATTTGTTAAAGATCATTACATTTTTCGATACATTATTTTGAGAAACAAAAAAGCAAAAAGTAGATGAACACTGAGATATGATCAGAGAGTATTGCACTTACAGTTTTTATTAAAACTTTTTTGATTAACTCCTTGTTATGATCGAGAAGAAAGATTTCATAAGAATTTGAGATTCTGAGATTTACATTTTGAGATTAAAATTATAAATATAATTCGAAATCACATGAGGAGCGCAATTTTCATAAAAGTTTAAAGAATGAAATTTTGCAGTGAAATTGAAGCATAATACATTCCAATCAATGAATTGATAAGTCGATGTGATTAAATAAGTAGCCGAGAATTGATGTTTTTTCTATTTGGAATAGTTTTAGCTACTTAAATCATAATTTAAATGCACAACATTAAGCTGGCACAAAAAATATAGTTTATTATTTAAACATTGGCAAAATTAAGTGAATTTCCAAAATCATATTTTCAGTTTATCATCCTCAGTGTAATTAAAGTGCTATATTTATACCAGTTGGATATTTTAGGTTAAAGTAAATAAGGATGTAAATCAGAGGTTGTATATGAGGGTAAACAAATGGACAAGTTAATTAATGAAAAGTGGAGGACAACAAACTTGGAAAAAATGAAACAGAATTTGAAGTTTTAAATTTAGATGTGTTAATATAAAAGAAATCCAAGCTGAACAAATGATGTAAAAAGAAAAATCAAATCGATCATCAAAAATTTGAGATTTTTTTTTGCAGGATTCATTATCATGTTCATGTTCTCAGTCTTATGTAAAAACATATATGGTAAAGGATAAGATCGCAGTGCTGAAAGAGTCAATCATCGATGATTTTTCCTTATTGATGTTCAAAAGTTTAGATGATTTACAGGTTGCCTCTATTTTCTTTTCAATTTTTCCATGTCATGATTCATTTAAGTAATGTCAAATGAACCCATGGAAGCCATTTTAATTTTGTCCTTCACTTTCTAATTTTGAAAATCATATAGGACAAGGATATGAATTATCTATGCAAATAAAAAAAAATATTGGGTATCTGAAAATTTTCAGTCAATCAGTATGTCCTACGTCCTATATGTGATTTCTTTCCAAAAAAGAGAATATTAAAAATAATAGTCCCTTTTTTGAAAAAAAATTACCCGAACTTGTATACGTTTGTTTAACATTTCTGTCAAAAGTACAGTATTATAACTTGAAATCCTTTGAAATTCGGTCGATTTTTAGTAATTAATGAGATTTTTTCCCTAAAATTTCAATTTTATTTATGGAAATGTTTGTATGTATATATGTATCCTTTAGAAATAAAACATGCCGCCTGGTTGTCCTTCACCTGATGTCGTCCCAGTTTTAGAGAAAGAGTAATCTGTCCTCCTTCTCTTCTTTTGCTCTCCATTCCTTTCTCATCTTCTTTCGTGCTCTTAAAACCACTTTTCTTGAAGAAGTTGCTGAGAGCTATCGAAATTTCTGGCACATAGATTTCATTGCGAATAATCGTAATTTTAGAGTCACGAATCTGTTCTATTTGCCAATGTTAAATTTCTCTGCTTCAGAGCAAAATCCAAATTTCAGTTCCCCTTCAAGTTTGAAATGTTTCTTTTTTTTGATAGAATTAATTTTGTATATTTCAGGTATTTCAGGACGAGCTAAAAGCTGTCAAAGCAAAGGAAGAAGCCGAAGAGAAACGGCGTAGATATGAAGAAAATGTACGGTTGGGCTTGATTAAGAAGAAAGGCCGGAAAAGCAAGGCCCAATTAGAAAAAGAGCGAAAACTGGAGAGGAGGCGTTTGCGACGGGAGAAAAAAGAACAGCGACGAAGAGATCGTAGGGAACGCCGAGAACGTGAAGCACGAGAAGGAACCAGCGTTGACAGTGAGGAGCGGCGGCTACGGAGGGAAAGAAAGCGTGAGCGCAAGGAACGACGTGAACGTGAATTGATTGGTGATGATAAATTGGAAAAAAAGGAACGGAAGCGGAAACTGAAGGATCCGAATGCTGCCAAAAAGCCAGCCAGACATCCGGTTAGTTTTTCCATTACATTTAGATGTTTACATTTTTTTCTATTTCACGAAGTGGTGGAAGAAGTTTACAGCATGAAATTTTATTTTTGGTAGGAATTTTAAGCATTGATACTTAGAAAGTATAAAGCAATTCCCTATGTTGAAAATTTTTTTTCTACTATCATCATTTATATTTTTTTTAAAGTTGAGATGTAACGCTTTGTCTGAAGAGACTTATGACAAAAAAATATATTGGAAAAGAAAAGGAGGGAGAGAGAGATGGATGGTATTACGGGAGGCGGAAGATGGGAGAACTTCAGAAATTGAGCAATGGAACCGGAATTTTCAATTTTGTTTGCAACATAATGGGCTTACTGAATGTTTTCAAGTCTTTCGTTCGAAAGTTTCTTTTTTATTGTGATGGTGGCGATTCGATAGAAATATTTAATCATTTTTTTGAATTTTAAAATCTTGGGATAGATATCGACCAGTGCACTGTTACTTGAATGGAAGAGGTCGGGCTGCAGGATATAAGATTTAAAAGTTTCTTCATTCCTTCTTTTTATCCCCCTTCGCCCAAAAACGACAAAAAAGATTTAGCAAACATGTCAACCAATGAACAATTAACAATTCTTCGTTAACAATGAAAAATATTGAAATATAGGCACTTTTTTTCCAAATCTTTGATGATTATTTTGAATCTAAGAATTTACTCGATTAAAAAGCAGTCAAGTCGATGACATGCGTATAAATTCTGACGTAAAAATTTTTTCTAATTTGCATCATTCATTCATATCATAAAACAATACTATCAAATGAGCAAAATAAGCCAATTTGTTGGTTAGCTTATTTTGAGAATTTCCTCTCGCTGTATCTTTGCTTATATTGATGTATGGATATTTTTTTTCTTTTCTTTTTTTCAATAATTAAAAAAACTATCTAAAATTTCTTTCGTTCATTCATAACTGTGATTCTTTTTCGTGCCAGAAATTGGGATGATTGAAGGATCGTTTTAAACTTTGTTCTTTTTTCATTCGTACAGTATTGAAGAATTTAAGGGGGCCAAGGTGGCAGCTGTGAAATTTCTTGCTTATCGTTAAATCAGGGATATCGCTGTGAGAGATTTCAAGGGCACTGTAAAATTGCCATATTTAAAAATTTAAAATGGATTCTTTTTCTCTGTACTTATCCAGTTAATTCTACTGTTTTGCTAGTCTGCTACAGTACTTCGCTGTCAGTAATAATTTTCCGGTTCGCAACGGGATTTAGCATATGGATAGGTGATTAAGACATGCACAATTGTTGTGAAGTTTTGCATTTGATGCTCCTTTTCACGACATTTTATTTTATATATCTGATATTTTCACGTATTTTGCTCGTTATCCTTACGTTTTTCTCTCTTTCTCGTCTAGTTTAGTTCATATTTTGCAGATCATTATCAGTCGCTAAGGGTTAAGGAAGAATAGTTCAATTCTTTAACTAACGTCTTTAATTAAGTTCTATTAAATTTAATTTGGGTAAGATTTCTTAATCATTTTATTTGTAATTATTGGTCTTTCATTTCTTCATTATATACGCTCGTATGCTATCCATCATCTAATCCTTGTTTTGTTTTGATGCTAGAAATCAGTGTATTACTTATTCTTTTCATGTCCAATTTTTTAAAATTTCCTTTAATAAATTACAGATGTTAAAAAAGGTGAAAAGCGAATGAGGAGATTGTCTGTCCGGAAATGACAGCACTTGTAAGTTGTGTTGGAAACTACATGAAAAAAGAAGGGGAAAGGAAAGGAAAGATGGTGATACTTTCCTTAACTTATACCCTCAATCAATGATTGCGAGGTTCGAAGGACGGGGATGGGTGGGAGGAGCGGAGGACGGGGCGGGGAGAAGGTAAAAAGAAGGAACGTATTCCCTCGTCTATTTTTCTTTTTCCCCTTTCGCTTTCCTCTTTTTTTGCGCATTTCCTTTTGGCTTTTTTTTCTGGTTTAAGTTCCATTTCACCCTTCCTCTCACTCCTTCACTTTTTTTTCTTAAATTAAAATTGAAATGTGCTTGCTTATGTCTTTTATTGCTTACTTCTTTCCTTCTTTCATCCTTTCCTTCCTTCCTATTACTTCATTTCATCTATTCCTTTTATCTCTTATGTCTTTTCCCTTCCGTTATCGATTCAGTCATCATTTTTATTTTTTTCTTTCTCTCTCTGTCTTTTTTAATCGACCTTGTAGGACATTTCATTTCGCCCATATTGCATATTATTATATTATTAATATGTGAAAAATTCGCTTTACATCATACTTTCTGTGCTTTTGTTTAATAAATACCGAACAAATCGATTTTTTTTCGAAAAAATACGGCGATGTTTTCAATTGATTCTTTTCCCTTCTAAAAAGATATTATGAAGTTTAAAGTCGATTTTTTCTTTCCAAAAAGCGAAGGCGAAGTTTTAAAGTTTAAGAGTAAAGATAACAGAAAGAATTTTAAAACGAAGTTTTTTTAATAGTTTCGGTATAAAAACTAAAACGTCTGGAAGTTTGTTTTTGTATTTATGTCAATGCATTGAATTATTGATAAATATTACTTGGACAAGAAAATTATCATTTTTTAAATGGTAAAAAGTTTCTTTCTCTTCATTTTCCTTTTCCTTTTTTCATTCTCTTCCCTTTCTTTTTTTCTTTTCTCCGTTTTTTGTCCTACACTTATATTTTTTTGATGCTTATCAATAGCTAGTGTTTCTAAGCATTAGCTGTTGTATTTTTACTGCCTATTTTTACTTCATCTTCTCATTCATCCATCATTTCGCTTTATTTTTTGTGTATTCTTCGATTTACAATTAATTTTAATTAAAAATAGGGGAAGAAAAGAGAATTCACAATTTCTTCTATATATATTTGAAAACATTTCGAACGCTAATATCATATTGCAAAAAAAGAGTAAATTAAAAAAGGAGAGGAAAAGGATGGTGAATTCTTTTGTTGTAATGGGTGTATTTGTCAACAACTATCATTTCTTTTATTTCTTGATGTCATCCTGTTCTTTTTATCTCTATCTATTATTGACGATGATAAGAGAAAATTAGAGAAATGAATTTGAATTTAATTCAAATATTTTTTAAGCAAAAATTTGGGAAAATAAATTCATACTAAATTTAAACCATTATATTGTAATATTTCTCAAGGAGAAAATTAGAAAAGCAAATTTAAATATTATCGCTTAAGCAAATTTAAATATTATCGCTTTCAGAATGTCGTATTCTTGCTTTTCATATCTCTCTCCCCCTCTACGTGTATATTTAACCTATTGCTTTCATTATTTTTTCATTCTTTTTCGCTGTAATTTTCGGCGCTTCATTTTTTGTTACTTTTTCTTCCCATTTCATAATTTGTCGGTTTTTCATTTCCAATATTTTTTTTATTGACCCCGTTTTGTTTATTCGTTCATTAATTTAATCACTAATTAGTTAGTTAGTTATTCAGTAATCAAACAGCCACTTAGTTAACTCGTTAGTTAGTTAGTCATTCAATCAATCATTCATTCATTAGTCATTTGCAACCAGCCGTTCATCGCCTGTTCCTTTATCGTTTTCAGCTTCTTATGTTACTTTCCTTCATTTCTCTGCTAATGATATTTTGTTAGATATGCTCTTTCTTTACACTTCTTATTTCTTTTATCTGTCCATATTTTTTATTTCATCCCCTTCTCTTCCTTCTTTTCTATGTCCATCTCTTTACAATCTTCTTTATATTCGTTATTGAAATCCTTCAATGAATGACGGATGGACTTTATTTAAAAACAAATTTTAAATTGGAATTCAATCATCTCTTTTCATCTCTCTCTCTCCCCTTTCTTCTCTCTTTTAAATTTCGTACTTGTCTCTTTTTTCAATCATAATATTTTACATCAGTTATTTGTCGTTAATCAATGACCTTTTTCGAATAATTTTTTCACCTTTTTTTGTATTTCGATTCTTAAATCCTTTCCCACTTTTCTTTCCCCGCCCGCTTCTTTTTACTTAAGAATTTCTCCTTCTCTCTCTGGTTTTGTTCTTTTCATCCTCTCCTTCGCCTTTTCTCTTTTCCTCCCCTTCCTCCTGTAACTTTTAATATTCAAAATTTTGTATATTCCTGTGTATTTTAGTAGGCTAGCGCTTATTTACTTACTGTTTGTAAAAAATTTCTTTCTATTCCTTTCATTTTTCTCCTTCTTTCTCCACGTTGTTGATTTTTCGCTCTCTTTTTAAACAATAAGAAAGAAAGAGAGAGGGAGAGGAGAAAAAAGGAAAGCCTTAAGGATAGTGGAGGATATTAGGGTGAAGAAGGTGGGGGAGTAGAGGGGATGGATCGAATTTCCCCTCTTCCTTGCCCAGCATATCCACCTCCACATCTTAAATCCTGTATGTTGCTGCTGCTGCTGCTGCTGCTGCAAGTACTTGTTGGTGCCACCGCCGCTTTGCCGGGCCGGCCAAAGGAGCCGCAGTGAGGGAGGGGAGGGGGAAGAGAGGAGGAGGAACGATGTTGCTATCGGTTTTGAAGGACGTCGTTCCGTTTCCATTATATCTGTTTGTGTATGTGTGTGTATGTCGTCAATCATGTTATATGTATATGTTATTCGTGGAATTTGATAGGCGTTAAACCTTTTCCGTCCTTCCTCTCCTCTATTCCCTATCCTTCGTATCCCTTGCGGTTTCGATCATCAGCTGGTATAAAATTACCAACTGCCTCGAGTACACTTCGTTTCATTTTTTTCATCTCTCTCTTTTTCTGTCATATTTTTATGTTTTCCATCTAATTCCTTCCTTTTTTCTCCCTCTCTTAAAAAATATTTTCAATTTAAATTTCTTTCAAATCATAAATAATTTAGTAATAGATATTGATGTCATTTGCCGTTTTAATTTTTAAAATTGAAATAAATGATATGTGGGATAAATTTGGAAGAAAAGAATGCAAAGGGAAGAAAGAATAGTATGATGTCATCATTTCCCTTCTCTTTCTGTCCCATATTCCTTCAACTTTGTCTATTCCTAATTTTTTTCATTA